AGTAACTACGTGATATGTGGAGCACAACAAATATGCCAAGTATTCAGGCCAAGCACAGGCGTCGAACAGTTAAGACATGGAGATGTGAGCTGACGACTGTACACTCTATTAAATTGACGATGTCAGTGCACATCACATATGGAGACTATCCCAAACCACAGTGGTATCATATTTCAGCACCATGTTGTGAATGGAGTAAAAAATCCTAAAAATGTTCAACATATGTACCCATGCTACTCATGGCTGCAAAATCAACATTTTAACCTTCGCTGAGATTAGTTATATGAAATTGGACATTTTCTTAAATCAAAGCCTTAATTTATAATCAATTTATTCTCGAATGCGAAAAATGCGTCGACGTTATTTCAGGAAAAAAGAAGATAAATATGGATATTGCATAAAGAGTGAGTTCACAAATGCATCTATGTTCTTCCTTCATCTAGATGCTTGGCTCATCAACATTAATACATGAGATATCTACTCAAAGTTAATCTGATCCACCATCGTTTAGATATTGTCCTATTCAATGTTTAAATTTACTCCCTATTTGGAGCGTACATATACGTATTCAGCGTATATTACAGTTAATAAGTACCCTTGAGCGCCAGCCCTGTTACGATGTAGTTCCCACCAATCTAACATAGAAACATAGAAACAGAGACAGGTCGATATGATAAATATATATTAATACAATCTATGCGACTTGGGATATGTAGAAAGTGAGTATGCGTGAAATGTGTCTTTACAAGAAATCTCTGTACATCCCACATTTGGTAATGTTTGTTTTTCATACAATGCAATAAGAAAACAATAGTGTTCGTGTGTAACTCAAAGATGTATGTTGCCTGGACTGTATGTTGAAATAAAGATGATTTTACTGCAAAAAAAGTGAGGCACAACATCCTCAACTCGAGGCGCAGGAAATGATGGTGAGAAGACAGCTATCGATATATTTCTTGCATAATTTGCTTATAGTCTATATTTCTTTGAACTGAAGGAAGGATATGTGGGTGATACTGATATTGAAGCGATGAAAACTAATCTTTCATGAAGTTTTGGTGCAGTAACGTAACCAAAGGAAGGTAGCATCTAATCTAAATTGCGGACGTTTTTCTGTGATACGTTAATAGTTGCTGGCAGCTCCACCCTTCCCCACAGAGATTAATTCAATGGAAAATAGTACAAGTACTTAACTGTAATTTGTCATTTCAATTTATAATTGAAAGTCAATGTACATGTATTTTCGAATATCTTACGTGTATTTCTATTTCAGGGAAATGAAAAGGAATAACAAATCAAAATCAGTGAAACTTATGTGGTGAGGTTGATATTGAAGTGTTGAACACTACTCTTTCAGCTGTACACAGTTTCAGATATGTATGATACAGCATGCAGTTCTGCCTATCACTTTTATGTTTGAATCCGTTTGTTTGTTTCTGAATAGCTTTACAACTGTGTCGTCATCAACCTTTAAAGATGTGTTGAAAAGATCATAACATAACAGTAAAGACTTGTGATCACCCAAAATTCCTATAAGTAATGTCATGAATACAGATTTCCTTAACGGAGAGCAGTTTGTATTAGTCGTGTGTGTCCTGGTAGGGCGAGTAACTACATGATATGCATTACGCAATAAATATATCTACCATTTAGGTTATACGCAACAGTAAAGATATAAAGATATAAACGACAGGTATCACTGGCGATATAAACTGACGACTGTGAACTGTAATGTTAAGCGTGACAATGTCCGTGCACAAATCACTATATGGAGAATGTCCACATATGACCGAGGTATTAATTCAAGTTCTGCCGACTCTCGGTTGCGACACTTTTCAGCAAAAGGATCTTACTACTTTGTGAAAAGGGTCAAAATTTAACATATTATTAAGCACTATAATCACTGATGTGAAATTTCCATATTAGCCCCTTAAGGTTAAGTCAGTGAAACTTGAAAGCCCATTTGAAACTGGATCTTTTTTTAAAATGTTAATATGTAATCAAATGTCAATCTATTCTATGATGTCAAACATGCGTCTTCATTTCAGGAAAAAGAAAATGAAATAAATTGTGATTGAATACATTGTATGAATGAAGGAAAGCAGTCAGAAAAGAAATGCAGCTCCTCTCCAGATATGGGGAAATGAAGTTGGTGCCCGAGATGAGGGATTGTGGATCGTCAAAGAATATGACGACAAATCTGCTCTACCGGTATAGGTTAAACAGAGAGGGTACACGATACTAAACTAGATCTTGATGGGCAGAAAAAAGGTGATGAGGAGCTATCCATGAAATTATTTATATTCACTTTATTAATTATCGCCCACATCTGAGTTATGGGCATTAACAAAGATATATGTGTGATACGGATACAGCAAGAGTCGTATCATAACATTAAAATTACACCTTTAATTTCAAGCAAATGTAAACGTACTTTTGACTGTCTCACATGTGTCCTTATTTCAGGGAAAATAAAATGAATCTCCAATCCCCACCAATGAAACATATGTTGATACTGGTCTCCATTATGTTTAGTTCAGGTGGGTAGATCAGTGGAAGGGAATTGGCTATTTGATGGTTATTGAACGATATCAGATAATCAATATACCTCAAGCTTTAGTTATACTTCATGGCCAAATTACCTTACATGCAGCTGTTTACACATATAACAAAGACAACAAGCATCACCCATTCAATCTTAGCAGGATACATTGAACTGTTCATTGCTTGAACAATTATTTCTGTTAGTTTAGCACATATCAAATAATTGCCACTGTGTAGGGCATGGGAATCTGATGAATGCACATTAGTCCTGACATCTAGCGACTACTACACGAAAGTTTGAGGGATGGTATAAATCCTGCTGGGGACCATGTAGGTAGCAGAAGTACCGTAAGTCCCCATGGTCCCTAGTATGGTGGCCTAACTTTGGCTGCTGGCGATCTACAGCCCGTTTTTATATTGTATCGTTTGTATTGTATCTGATTATTTTATTGTTCTAAAACTAGTTTTAAAATCTTAATCTGTGATATATTGCTGGTTGTTGTACTGTCCTTCGATGACAGCTTTTCATATATAATCTAAATGCATAACTTGTTCATGTCACGATATGGCTGAAATACTGCCGATGTGACTTTAAATATTAACTCACTCACTCACTCACTACACGAAAGTTTGCCGTGTTTTATTTATCATAAAACGTGTAACGAGCGAAATCGATGGGGGCCCGTTTTTTGGGTAGAGTTATTATTTTTCTTTTTAACAGATTTTTTTATGCCGCACTGTTTCGCACTGTTCACTAAAACATAATAACTGTACAGATGTAGGTGATCTCAAAACAGAACAATGCAAATAGCAGTGTAATAAAGCTGTTTTGGATAATAAAAGACCTGATGTAAGATCCGGCGACGTAAGGAGGTGTTAATGGACATTTATAGATGTTTACAGACGGCTCTGGGGATTGAGGGTCCTGACAGGAGGAAGCTTATGGCCAGAGGGACATGCCGAATGTTTGCTGCAGATCTTCTGTGAACTTGGAGACATTGACACTATTAGGTATTTTGAATAAATGAAGTTTTAAAGAAACCTATTGTTTGTTTGTTGTTTAACACGCACTCAGCAATATTCCAGCTATATGACGGCGGTCTGTAAATAATCGAGTCTGGACCAGACAATCCAATGATTGATATCATGAGCATCGATCCATGCAATTGGGATAGATGACATGCATCAACCAAGTCAGCGAGCCTGACCACCCTATCCCGTTAGTCGCCTCTTACGACAAGCATAATCGCCTTTTACCGCAAGCATGGGTTGCTAAAGACCTATTCAAGTGGTTTGCACTATTACAACAATAATGAACGTCGCGCGGAGCGCTTGTCCCGAATAAGCATTATAAAAATAACTACAATGCATTTTCCAGTCACAAAGACCAAGTGTCGCAAGTATCTGACAAGAGACATGACTGAGCTGCGAGGTGACAGTGATATAACGTGCACGACGAAGGTAAGATATGTCTTTGAATGCAAATATTGAATTGTACGTACATTTCCGTATTCTACGACAGAAACTACTCTGATCTCATTGTTTTATCTGGGCTGTGTCTGTGTTGCACTACTTTTCACATAAAGATTGTATAACCAAACAGTTCAAAATAATGAATACCAATGTTTTCATTCACGTTTAATTTACAGTTGTTAAATGATTTAGAAAAGCTGACAAATGTGCGTTAAATCCAACAAATTCTTCCTGCGAACTTGATCTTTAAAATTGAATTTGTTACTTAATTTCGTTTTTAGTTCTTCAAGAATAGACGTAGGTAATTTCTCGTGATCATCTCGTGACACTTATCATGTATTGATTATAAAGATGGCAAGCAATAAGAAAGCACTAATGTCTGAATCGCCAACGCATATAAAGCATAAAGGTTGAGTTTATGTATATAATAGTGACAAAACCCTCTCCATAATCATAAGACATAACGATTCGGACTGTATCATAAGCATGTGTTTATCAATCATTATCAAATAGGTGTTCGCGAAAAGGTGACCGTATCCTACCCCACTGGTGGCACAACCCACATACTACTGATTTGTACTATATGTTACCCTATTTGTTCAGGTGGACACTTGAATACCCTTTGGATTTGGACTAATCTGACGCACAAATTAAACCACTTTACATTTATAATCTCAATACATGGAGTGTATGCCTTGACAACTGGGTTCAATGACAAAGAAGAAAATACATGGATATGTTTAAGAGAATGGGCATGCATGAGTTCCCTGTGGACAAGGTAGACACAATTTTATGGATAACAACTTCTTTATTACTGTAAAAAGCGACGTTTCCCGTATAGATCCTTGCTTGACAACGGAATAAGGATCTATACCGAAACGTCGCCTTTTACAGTATTAAAGAAGTTGTTATGCATAAAATTGTGTCGAACTTGTCATCTGTCAACTTCTAAGTAATGCCTATCAAACATGTTTTACCCTGTGGAGTGTGGTGTACAGCTGAAACGTGGAGCCTCCTTAAAGTTGTGTGACTTAAGGGATCAATTGGACGTCACTCATTCATGTAAAGTTGACAAACACTTAACAGAATATCACACTTGGATTCGGACATGACACAAATGCAGATTCACTGAAAATGATCAGTGTACGGTCCAGAGAGATAAACCAACCACAAGAACAGCAGGGCACAGGTAAAATGCACAATGTATTTACAACAACGTGTACCTGTTTATAATGAAACATACTTAGAAAGAGACTGTTTCTAGGGACTAATTCTGATCCGAAATCCACACGGCTTCTTAATTTTAGACACCTCTTACGACAAACAATAGGGTGCTGGTGACACATTCTACCCTGAGTGAGTGAGTGAGTTAATATTTCAAGTCCGATCGGCAATATTTGAGCAATATCGTGACTTGAACAAGTTATGCCTTTATATTGTATATAAATAAAACTGTCATCGAATGACAGTACAACAACGAGCAGTATATCACAGATTATAATTGTAAAACTGGTTTTAGAACAATAAAATGATCAGATTATGACAGACGACACATTACAAAAACAGGCTAGAGATCACCAACAGCTAAAGTTAGGTCACCATACCAGGGACCATGGGGACTTACCGTACCTGTGCTACCCGCATGGTGCTCTTAGTCATCACGGGGCATTACTAAGGATCCTTCAATGAATCTCTTTCTAAAATATTTTAATTCCACCTCATAAATTTGCAAATAAACTAAACAGCGCCACATGGGGATGCATTAAGGTTTTGTCTGAATTTGACCATCGACGCCGCATTTGCTTTTTGGAACCACACGGCACACGGACATCCCGTTGATATCATATCTCCTTTAAAGCAACGGGGAAATATGTTTGACGCAAGAACCATTCATTTAAAAGGCCAAGGTCAATCTTAATATTAAGGTTAAAAAGCATTTACTCTACGTTAGTACAATAAGATCATCCTTCGATGTGGTGGCGCGATCTCAAAAGGTTGTGAGTGACCTGCTTATTAGGTCAAGGAAATTCGTAAAGTTTGTCATTTTCACTAAATGACATTTTCTGCCTATAATGCTTATATTGTTTGAATACTTATGTATGACAAGTGATGACAATCTTTCATATCAGTTGTAGGTCAATGTGACCTATTGTCACAGTAGCATATGCTATTCCATCGTTGTTACATTGAATTCCAGCAAGGCACATATTTGATTTATATTTGGCTAGATAAACAAGATTGAATATTCTCTTGACCGTTGACGTTTTATATTTCTTATAGAATAATCAAGCATGTGATTGGCTGAAATTGAGGGACAAGGTAATTAAGCAGAAGTACAAATAACGTTCCTATTAAGGTAATACAAAGGACATTCAATCTTAATGATGAAGTGTATGTAACTATGATATTAAGGCAGTTAAAGACATGATCCTTAGCTGCTTCAGAGTGGCACTGCATTGGACACGTTTCTTCAAGCCGGAAGTGATGTTAGTAAGGTAAAGGCTTCATTGCACATGTTTTTTTCCACACCGGAAATGATGCCATTAAAGCGGAAGTAATATGGATTATGTACCTGGACCTCTAATTTCAGCCATGAACAGCATATATATAGTTAGTTTCATAAAATTCCAAATATAAATGAACAAGTTATATTGTACACCAGTGTTTTAGGGCGTCTACTTCCTAACGAGTGGTCTTGCCTTTAGCCTCATTTAGTCTCATGTTTGAGAACATGTTGCAAACTAGCTGGTGTTACATATATGAACCATGCAATACCAACAAACACTTGAATGAAACAATGTACAAGTCATTTCATGAGTGACCTTAAAAGCGTCTTTGATATTTGACACAATCATTACAAGTGTTCAGTTAGTTCATCATCCCATGATCGGAAATATCTGATGTTTCATGATTTTTTCCGAAATTTCAGGACAATTGAACTATTCATATTAGATATCAGGTTGACCAAATTCTATTCAAAAGTTCTTGTTATGGTGTACAGAAACCTTTTTTGCCCTAGTTTATACTGAGTAGCCTTGACCGTCAGGTCTCCCAATCACACAGACACACGCACACATTATTTTTTTGCAAATGTAGGTTGTGTTTCAAATATGAAGCATCCATCCTACAATGCAAATACTTCCTGAATGAAACTGTTTACAATAACAAAACCCTTTCCTTGATATATGATATAACTGTTAACATATAGAATAGTATATCAACACATGACACAACACTGAAACAGACTATAAGCAATGAGTGCAATGTCGGTTACATGGGAGAAAGTGAGTGAGAACGGTGTTATGCGGCTTTTAGCAACATTCCAGCAATAACGCGGCGGGGGACACCTGAAATGGGCTTCACACATTATACCCATGTAGGGAGTCGAACCCGGATCTTCGGCGTGACGAGCGAACGCGTACGCTTTAATGCACTACCCGAAAGCCCCTTGACATGGACGTGTAACAACGCACCCGGCACAGTGAATATGTGCCTGAATCCAATATAACTGACAATACACTAATTAAATGTATTTCTCATCAGATAAAAGTATACAAAATGCCATACTACCATATTATAAACTGAAACATATATACATGATTGTAACCGCCATTGTGAAGGTGGATACAAAATATAACATAAGAATTACTAGCTAGCACTTGAACCAAATTAAACATTCAGAAGACAACCGATACAGACATTCATACAAGTAAGGTTAGGAAACAGTCGGTCGTTTCAGTACATCAATGTTGTTCTGCCTCAAATAGTGTGTTACAACACATGCAACATGTGGGCGTGCTGCAAGGTGACGTTACGTCCCTGATTTTGCATAAAGGGTAGAACATGATCTCGAACTATGAGGTCCCGGTAGCATGCACCATTGAAATTTCCTTTGACAGTAATGAGTCATGTTCCTTAATGACTTGTGATGCCAACCCTTATTCTTGTATTCTTATTGAATTTAATATGATGCACAGTTACCTTTTCCCGTTGGTATATACACCACATCCCGCTGCGTACCAATGACACTTATAATATGATATAACAATATAATCATGTTTACCTACTCAAAGCAAGTATTTTCTTTTGAACATGACACCTGTAAGAAAGTGTTTGAAGTGCCTTGATTAACATTATTCCTCGTTTTTTGTTAATCCTATTTTTAGATGAATAAATGGCAACTTCCGTGAAGCGTGTGATTCCTTTTGACACCAATTTGACCCTACATTACATGGCGAATGCATTGAAGCATTGAGACATGGATCGTGATTCCCAAACCAAAGAGACAGTAGCACAGAGGGAGGAAGTGTCTGCATGCCTACAATCGTCTGGGGAATCGAAAGAGGGAGCGTCGGCTCTCGTCAACAAGAGAATGCTATCCCCGCTCATATTTGCAAAGCTATGTATTGCCAGGCTCCGACGTTGATATGGATGAAACAATTTCCGTTCAGAGCCCCAGACATTCTAGTAGGGTGGGCCAAACAAACAAATCTGAATCCAATTGCTCAGCGTCATATTATTCTGATGTACGTCATTCGGAGAGAAATTCTAAGAGACATTCATATAAAAGTCACAAGTTTAGGTCATAAACTAGACTAATCTCGGGTGAACACAGCAGACTTTCAGATGAAGATTCCAATCAGCCACGTCTCAGTCATAAGAGCTGGTTCATAGTCGCATATCAGCTGCCAGTAATCTGTCGGATCATCAGGCTGCCAAACTTGCATGTATGAAGAAGCAAGCCCAACGTGGTGAGCACAGCATAAAGCTTAAAGGGCAAGTTCACACGGAAATTAACCTATTTTTCTTGTACTTTTTCCACATTAAAAGTGTTAACCTAGAAGTGTCATAGACAAAAATATAAAAATATCACAATTAATTAACATATTTTTCGCATTAAAACGATTTATATTTTTCACATTTACCAAGTGTTCTATTTCCACAACAAAAACACCATGGCTTATGCCCCTTGCAGTATGACGTCATTGGTGCCAATTGATAAACATTATGACGTCATCATGCTTTGTTAGAGCCGCTTCACGTGGTGTAGGTCTAGGTGTGTGATTCTAGCGTCTCAGATGCCAGCCAGCATAGTGTTATGCTGAGTCACCACTGCGCCGGAGTGTGTCGTAGGCCATGTTGTTTTACCGCAAACTGGTACTTGATATCTTTTGCGTTGAGAATAGACAGGGACCCAGTTGAATTGGCACCAATTACTTCATAATCTAAGGGCATAACTCAGGCCTGTTTAGCTCGAAAAACGAAGGCCTCATAACGGCATATCATTTTCACACTATTGTGAGCTTCCTACTTTCACTGTGAAAACAATGAGTGTATATTTTCAAACACAGATATTAATTAATTCTAAAATTGCGTTTTGTTTAGAAAAAGAAAGAAAGTGATTTTTGCGTGTACACTTCCCCTTTAAGAAGAAATATGCAAAACGCATATCTGCGCGCAAATGGTTGAAAGAAAGGCAACCAAAGTGGCGAGAGCGAATGCATGCTGAATTACAAGTAAGGAAGATTCGGAATTCGGAAAGAGAACTACATGAAGCTGGCTGAATCCATGTTGAGAAAGAATGATGAATCACCGGAATCCCAGTCAACAAAGAAACTGAATCCTAATGCCCAGAACTTGAGCCTACTCGCAATGACTTCACTGCATATGTTACAAATAGTGATAGGTAACAGTATGACCCGGAAATTCATGAGTCAGTGGTTAGTAAATCTTGTGTAGACCAGAGGCCTCTCCATCAAAGATCTCTGTATCTGTATCCACAGAACACTTGTCCTACAGTCAACCCAAATGTCCCAACAAAAGTCTGTAACTTTTGTGATAAGCTAAAGTAAAAGGAATCCATCCCCTATGATACCCACAATGCCTAATATGATTATTGGATTGTTGCTTCATATGCTATTTCTAGGCCAACATTGAGCACATTTCCTTCCGGTAAAGAACGATATGATAGACAGCCTAATCAATTTGCACCCCCACCTTTGCGAGCAATACAAGTATCAGGTACTTATTGGTCGATTAGAGAGCTCTCCAAAGAGGCTAGCAGAAGTCTACCTATATGATATGAATCCTTTTACCAGTGCTACGGGATCCCCCAGAGACAAATATGGACAGTCACAGTAGCTTGGCACTCTGAAATGACTTCAATTATACATAGCCAGTGAGATTTGGAGAACTTTTCATTGTTGATTCATTCTCAAGTGGGAGCCAGGGGGGGGGGGGGGGGGGGGGCAGTCGTCAAAGGCTCCACCAGAAACCTATGATTGTGGGTTCGAATCCTGGTTCACCCCAATTATGTTTCTAGGTTTGTCAGCACCATACCCATGCTCCTGGGTTTCACCGAAGTGGTAAACGTCTGAGACCTGCATCATTTCGGGCTTTCCTCCCACATTAAGCTGACACGACGTGATATAACTGGAATAATGTTAAAAGCAGCGCTAAACCCAACTTACAGACACAGACATTTTCCATGTTCCATTTATCCATATATCGGCAACTTAAGTGTTACCATTATGGACACTACCAATGCAGATATTTTGCTTAAATAATTGTGTCGGTATTCTAGCAACCCCATAACTTGATCTTACATGGATAAACCCCCATTAATGCTGCTGTTGTGTGCATAAAGAATGTGTGTTGTATGTTGCATTTATATCTAATATTTATTTATTTATATCTAAATATATGAAGAATTATATGTGTGTCTTCTGAGGTAAGCCAGACAGTCTTGATAGGTACCGTGACATTGCTTTTACAGGGCATATCCTTGGATCTTGATGGGCCATAGCATGCATAATGCTTGTCCTACCTTACTGATCTTTGTTAGAGAATTTAATATTCAGTGATGACATTGAGCTAAGGTGAGGTCAGATTTGATTCCTGTGCGACTAGAGGCAGATATATGCTGGGCTACAGTGAAGGGGGCTTTACCTACTAACGCCATGTTGGCAATATACCGCAAAAATGGCACAATGGGACTGGTCAATTATGCCCTATGGTAAATCAAAACCGAAACTTACATAAAGATGAAATTACATAATCACATGCTCACTAAGTATTGATAATTGTAGGAATTCAAGTTATCTGAAAGCTTCCAAAAGGTGAATCATGTGCGCGTGTGTTTGCCCTGTGGTGCTAAGATGTGGAATCGCTGAAAGGGAATCAGCAATGGTATTAATGTTTCCAAGGATGTGCCTTGATGAATAGATTCAATTTAAGACAAATAACGTTACCCTAGTGGAGTTAGAGGTCAACGTGTTTAGTATTGCCACGATTCATGTGTCATGTTATACATGACTTGACTTGACTTTGAATGTTATTGTGACGGGTGCCACCTTTTTGCAAACACCTGGTATCGTTACTATTTGATAGTGATTCATAAAAAAATGCTCATGATATAGTCGGAATCGTACAACCGATTTATGCAGATATTTTTATTGGATATGGAAAGGGTTTTGTCGCTCTATATAATTATCAGTGTTGAAAAGGCATTTATTATTTGGAAGAGCTATCCAGATATGCATAGCCACGAGTTTGAAATATAGCCCGAATCCACTGCAATGTCTTCGTGAAACAGTTGCAAGTGGTCGCTGACATACCACAAATTCTCTAGAAACAATAGGATACCGTTACGGTTTCTCAAAATATCTTATCAGTATCAAATCATGTTTGACGACATTGGTCACACGTAACTGATGATGTGACTTCTTAAATCCTTTGTAATATCGGTAAAATGCCGGGAGAAAGGCCGCCCCACCACAAAGTTGACCAACTGATGAGTGATTAGATTTTTTTTAAAGCTGCTCTTTTTGCTTTGTGAGAAACTGTTGGATTCAACTAAAGTGATGGTCGATTTTTTCCTGTGCTTTGCAGATTCACCATTTTATAGTATCAGTTTCTATATCTAAGAATGTCAGTAAATTGTATTGTTGTATGGCCTCATTTTCGAAATGGATGCACATTGTTTAAATGTTACGAATGCTGTCTTGCAGGCAACATTACCTCTTCGGCCGCCAAAGAGAAAACATCCAAATAGAGCTGTACCTGACCTGTTTTCGACCCTGATGACGTAGCCCAGTCAATGAAGTAAGCATTTCTTTAAAAAAACAGCACAACTTATTTTATAAACCACAGGGAGACAAATATCCACAAAATATTTGTTTATGGCAATTGTGTCTCCTGACTTGAATCAGTCAAAAGACACTTTATGTCACCCTAAAGTAACAAGGCACCACTTCCAAGCACCTGGATCATATGAATGGAAGCATCAAACCATGTATACTGAACCGAAACAGCATGTTGATCAATGAAGTCATTTATGAAATTATTTGCTCGAAACGATACATGCTGAATTTATCTAAATTCCACTATCTCCTTTTTGGGTATTCAGTGTTGAGGCAAAATTTTCAGGTTAGTCAATAGAGAGGTATTAAAGGGACAGGCAATTCTGCCCTGTAATATTTCCTTATAAATTCTAATGATTAATGGTTGTTGTTGACAAAACAAAATATTTCTAAATAATGAATAATCACTTACATGCCAAAATTAAAACCCTCCAACAGTAGAGCAGAGCCTTCTTTATGTGGATATGTCTGCACGACGACGCCGAGCCTGATTGGAGAACAGCCCTTGCACTGGAGTTCAACTATTTCTTAGGGAGCTCTTCATCTAGTCAGCAGGCAACATTTTGGTGAAACTCCCAGCATGGTGCCTTAATTGTGACTCTCGTCTTTGGTTGTAAAACATTCCATGCTGAATAAAGTTTGGTTGATGCAATAAGTTTATATGCCAATGGTCATTGTCAATGTTAGCCCAATTTATATAGCGCAAAACTGCTCGTGATACGAGCGCCATCCATACACCCTTACCCTCTGTATTGCCAACCTAACTGTGCTCAGGATTTGAGCAAGTGCTGCCTCATATTTGGACATCGTTCCAAGCAAATGCCCGAATAAATGAGAACCGCTATTGTTTATTCATTGATATTTCTTTCGAAATATTTCAATGATGCCTTTGGCGCATCTACACAATCCCATATAGGTATTGCTTAATGATCCATTTGACGGAAGCTCCTTATAAGTATCTTGTTGCATGTCGTCGCGAATGCTTTTTAAAAGAAAAGCCCATAAGCTTTCCTCCGACAACATAGTATCATTGCCGTCAGATCATCCCTGCATGTCATGCATGGGGGTACTAGCAACAGGTCGGTGATCAGCCGCGTGGATTTTACGAGCGGTTCCCACGCTTGGGCTTTCATCTCTGACTGGCCAGGTGTAACTGTTAGGGCGGGTATTGTCAGTAACATTTATTTCCCTGTCCTGTTGGAGATTAAAATGTTAAAATATTAACATTAACAGGTGAAATACCTCGTCATATCTGTATGTCTGACGTCTCCCGTTCGTCGGTTCCTTATTGGCTCTGCTGTCAGTTCCGCTGTTCTATCTGTTGGACGCGGCATGTCTTCCATTCTGCTCCCCTAGTCTTCATTTTCACCGCCGTCTGCCAGGCCTGTTTTATAACGCGTGACATCTCTCCTGAAGTACGCGTTCTTTGTTGTTTGAGTTCAGTACGAAAGGGATTTGGCTTCGGCGGAAAGGCACGGTCATATTCGTGGTCACGTGACCCGTATGAGTTACCCGCCTTAGTCCTTGCCGCTTCATGGTGATGAGAATATCAGTTATGTTTGACAAACTTTATGTAAATAAATACGAGTGCATCAGCTCCAAACCACAGATCAATCCAACCCCATTGTATCATAACTGAGCACGGACAACCCACCTCTTTGCTGTTCTAATATTTCAAAAATAGATAATACAATATGTGGCAAAGTCAAGGTATGTGTAATTATGTTTAATGAGGGTTAATGATTACTTAAGTCTTAAGATGGCCAGTTTCTTTTGTGTATTTGTTTGTCATTGTTAGGTGGAGTCTAGTTTTGTTGAACTGTTTACTGAAAGACAACAAAATGATGCGAACCGACTAATCGAACCTCCCGTCGTCTGTAGTACCTAAATATATGATTGCAGCACTGGGACATATTTACAGGCTGCTGTAAATGTCACTCCTAAATGTAAAAAATATTCTGATGAAGTACAGTAACATGTGAATGGACCGAACTAAATTCTAGTCAAATCTTGCAACATATAAAGTGATCATATGCATGGTGTTAACGTATTCAATTCCCGTCGTCTAGAGAGATCTAACTGTATGATTGCTGCATTGAAAATACTTTACAGGCTGCTGTAAACGCCACTCCTAGATTTAAGAGCTGTTGTCAGATATAACTTCTGTAACATCTTTGGATGCTTTCATGTCAAGTCTCGTACGTCTCAGACGACGTCCATGTGATGTAGCTTTCCTCGAAACAAAAAAAACTCTGGAGAATGACTGAAGCCCCGCGTCCTGCTGCCACATATGAGACTAAGCTCCACAGTTGATGGGAGAACACTTAGGACCATTGATGACAATGTCGCTGTGTGCATAATTATGATGTTGTAATTACATCACCCTTCATCAAAAACATATTCTTTTCAATAAAAAGGTCGATAATCATAATGTAATATGACAGCATATATTAAATATTGGCAACATCAACCACACAGACATACTACTTAATCAAAATAGTTTCTATTCCACTCCACAGTCATGAGCAAGTCTGAGATCCCCAGAAGACTAGATACACTAGGTGAGTTGGAACCAACGATACATGTATTGTAGTGGGCAAACTACTCTCCAGACATACACTAAATGTTGTCAGCACTGTAAAATGTTTCAGAAACATTCTTAGCATGTAAATACCTAAAAGTTAAAACACATCATCAGCTCTTATCATTCCTTCTACAAACACCTTCTTGATGTCTGCCAAATAACAAGACTAAATATAAATGTCTACTGCCTTTCTATCATCATTGAAAGACGTGAAAAATGCAGCTGTAAGGTAAAGACCTCATTAATTTTGTGCTTCAGTAAAACGGAAAGCCGCACGTGATTACTCTCAGGCAGCCTACAAACTCCATAAAGCTAGCATGGAAGGGGATCTGGCAGCTGTGAATCGGATCCTGGCAGCAGGTCTGGTTGACATCAACAGTAGCAACATCGGCGGGAGGACGCCGTTGATGGAGGCAGCACGATGGGGACGTAGTGAAATAGTACAGTTTCTTGTGAGGAAAGGAGCTGATGTTTCGCTTGTGGACGATGACGGCAACAACACCCTTCACTGGGCTTGTGATGGAGGATATATGGAGACGGTGAAGTTTGTCCTCTCACAGAACATCGCGGAAATCAACGCTAGGAACGTGGATGGGGAGACAGCGGCCGACATGGCGAGATTCTGGGGATATCAGGAAGTAGTGGATCTACTGGTGTCGAGTGTCGATCAGTGAAGTGATTGTAGTGTTTGTGTTGACATTGAAGAAGGACATGTTGTTACAGACATTGACGTTGCGTGTGCCGTTCACGTCCTCGAGTTTTCCATTGCAGACTTGGGTGAGATTGTTTGTTGTTTTTGAGGATCTCCATGCAGGTAGCAGATGTACTGTAAGATCCTATGGTCTCCAGTGTCGTCGCGTTACCTTGATTACTGGCAAGCTATACCATTTTTTACAGTTTCATGCTAGTTATAAATACAAATATGTGATACGCTAGTTATTTTACTGTCCACTGTCAATTTTGTTATCTAATAATGCCCCGTTCACAGGCACTTTTATATGTATGTGTATATTCGCATACGTGTGTAAATATAGGGACGTAAGTATACTTGTCATATGAACGCGTTTACTCATGTCCATCTATATAAACCAGGACCAAATTTGCCCATGTCTGGAGCAGGTGCAAATATAAACTTACTTATATGCAAATTTGGGCTGAAAATATGTTGTCATCTGAACGTAAATTCCAACGCCAAAGGACGATCTTATTCATATATATGTTGACTTGCCTACACCAAATAAATTGGCAACAGTTCTGTTGGCGCCCCCGATGCCAGCAAACCCAGAGACTGTAGAGAAGAAATATATAGACCTTGTGAAGAAACATTATGTCTTCTGACATGTAAGCAGGGATAGACTTAACATAGGAATGCCTGTCAGATGCGTTTAAATTGTCCTCCCAAGTTGACTCACGACCTTTGTCCAAAATTAGCCATTCCTTGTATTGCAACAAACCATGGCGATTGTTTACACGACAAACAATCTACCAGCTCGTGTATTGCAACAAACCATGGCGATTGAATACACGACAAATACTTTACCGGCTCGTGTATTGCAACAAATGATTAGGAACAAACGATATGAGTTAATGTTAAACAGGTAAGTAGCTTTTATGTATATCGTTTAAGTAGAGTGTTGTTTTTCAAATCAATTTGCAACCACGCGTGTTTCATGTTAGATGTAATTGCAGTTAATGTGGAGAACCATCAGCGTCCTCAGATCAAAGTTTGTACTCAAATCCACGACTATATAATTCTGGAACGCCCAAGTGACGCATCTCTGCACAGCGAATTGTTTCTCCTTGACGATTATGTCATCCGTTATCCAATAAAACAATAACTAGAAAGTGCCTTGGTTCAGTCAAATTAACTTTCTGAGTCAGCAGATCTACTTATTGGGACGTATTGGAACGCGTCATCTCAGATGACTGATGACAACGTATACATAATTACACCAGACGGCGGATTGATTGAAAAATAACACCACGTTAAAAGTATATTTCAAAACAACGTAACGTGTATACATTGTCAACTTGTCTTTGTTACTTTCGTGAATCATGAGCATAAACATGTTGTTCTTTTTCTTCTTCCGTATGTCTCTCTTCATATAAATTCTAAACTCTAAAGGTCATGGTATACTGCCGACAAAGAGTAAGGGAACTCATTATTTGAATGAGCTATCGTTGAGGTGTACAGTTACAATACCACGGCGTTGCACCTGAGTCGAACATCTAACCACACACATGTCATGGACTGCACGTGCACAGACAAGTCAAAGTGAACAGATAAAATGGCGAGGGGGAAAATCAGCATCCCATGTTGCCTGAACGTTTGGAAAATCAAAAAGTGTAAGTTCTCGTCTGTGGTGAATTTTAACATCTATCGTTAAACACCGGCTCTATGTTGCCCGCCTGAAATTAAGGCGTCTTGTTGAGGGTGTGACCCTCACAACTTACTATATAGTTGGCACAAATTGGAGTGGGCTAGGCAAAACCAGCGACGGGCTGTGCGCCAAAGGCATTACACGATGTTTACAGACGAATCATGGTTTTGCCTCCGAAACAACGATGGCAGAACAAGTTGTTGGCGACGTAGCGGCGAGAGGTAGTCAGGGCAAAAATTCTTGACCATGATCGGTATTTGGGCGGTAGTGTCATGGTGTGGGGCGGTATCACCCATGACAGACGAACTGATTTGGTTATCATGAATGGACATTTGATTTGCCAGCCATATATTGCCGAAATTGTGCGTCCTGTCGTTGTCCATTCGCTTGAATCATCGGCTGAAATCTTGAAATGCTAAATGACAAAGCCAGAACACGTTGTGCCGAGAAGCCATACGGACATGAGACTGGCACGCTAAGTCCCCCGAAATGTTCTCAATAGAGCAGTTCAATATGTGAAGCCCAATTCTGGTGTCCCCTGCTGGGTTTATGCTGGAAGTCTTGTTTTGTTTGTTGCATGGCGCCGCACTCAGCAATAGTCCAGCTCTATGACAGCGGTCGGTAAATAATCGAGTTTGGACCAGACAAACCGGTGATTGACATCATGAGCATCGATCTATGTAAGTGGGATACATGACATGCATCAACCAAATCGGCGAGTCTGGACACGCGATCCCGATAGTCGCCTCTTACGACAAGCATAGTCGCCACTTAAGTAAAAAATATGTTGCTGTAGAAATTTTCACCTGGGTCCTAATACTCATAGAATCGCTAGCTTTTGTTCTACTACTTCAGTATAAGACAATATTGGTAGTAATTTTGCACACATTTAGACAGTATGTCACACGTACGGAATGATATTATGTAAATCTCCTACGAAATAGCAACAAAAATATATGAAAAAATATGAATTGACTTACATTTTGTGATAATAAACATCGCAAGCTCTGACTTTCCTACATTGCTGCGCTCACACATAATTATAGAATAACCTACGAGGTACGAGTGATTACGGAAAATATGTCACGAGTGAAATTAATGTTTTAAGTTCCGAGCTTTAGCGAGGAACTTAAAAGATTAATTTCACGAGTGACATATTTTCCGTAATCACTCGTACCTCGTGGGTTATTCTATTTATTACCCATATTCATATTAAAGACATGTTTCAAGAAAAAAACAATGAACTGTCGCCGATCAAGAATCAGCTGTTTTGTATCAATCCGCGTGTGAAAAAACACTGTCCACTCACTCCAGCCGCATTATTCAATCAACAACGTCTTGCTACGCGTAAAAATATAGTTCTGTTAACAAAACTTGAAAGATCACATTATTGCAGTTATATTTCTGTCTGAGTTATACAGCGTACACTATCTAACATTGATAAAAGAAGACAATTTTCAAAAAAGGTTCAACAGGCTTTTTATTCAAGGCTTGTTTTGACAAGACCTCTCATTGACAAGACAATAGCCGTCGTGCATCACCATGGACATGAATTTCACATTGAGAAGAGGAAACACGGAAAACCTGTCAATTTTTTCATGTGTCATTCGGTAAAAATGCAAAAACCTGTATCAACAACATAGAAGGAATGTACAGAAGTCATGTTTGATTGAGAAAAGTTACGACAAGTAGGTAAACTTTGAAAAATACGATTGCTGTCAGTGTCGGAAAGAATGACCCGACTTGACCAAGATATGAGACAGCCGAAACCAGGAATGACAAGAGAACCGGCGTTGCAGTTTAATCCGGACAACAAGTTTAATGAACATCGTTTGTGATTTGAGACAAGTGTGACTGATGGGAAACATGTGCATGTGGGATTTTAGGAGGACTTGTCTGAGTCAAACGCGCTTGTGGAGTGGACACAGTCAGATAACGGGAGTTTGTTGATATTTTGATGTGATTCATAATATGGTCGAATACCTGTTGATAGACTAACACGGTATCTGGAGACTTGGTGACAAGCTGTCCGCATTCACGGAGTTCATTTAGTTCAATGTCGGACATAGGATCACCTCGCTGGGGTAAGTTTTCTTTTCCTTGTATTTTTAATTATTTTTTTTTTATTTCAAAACCTATTTGAGTTCAGCAAAGTGCATCGATTTCGCAACCAGATGTTGGTAATCTTGTCGCTAAGGTAGCACTCGGTGCTACCCTTGATCTCCTTCAAAGTAGGCATTTCGAATTCTGAACCGTCTGATGTGCATGCCGAATTGATAAATTTGCAAAGAATAATGTTTAGTTGCACCTTTCCTGTGTCATTTACCCTTATAGTCTTATGGTGTCCGGACGTCAGTCAGCCTGCATACCGCTCAGCGCCGTACTGTGCTGACGTGTGGTTACAAAAACGTATACATTGTATAAAAAAGTGTCGCGTTCTTATTTCTTCACACAATGTTACAAACTTAAATTCTACGAAATGGCGTATGTTTATAATGTCTTTCGGAAAGTCTAACTGTTGTTGCAAAAGGAATTTGCTTTTATTCTTATGCCATCATTGAAAGTGTGAGTAGTCTTATTTTTCGTGTTTTTCTTACCAGTATAAATTTGAACTAAGTTCATGTCAACTTGTCAAATTTAGTCTTTTTCATTGTGTTTTCCTTTTCATTGGCAGTTATCGATGTCATCATCGTTCACAAAGGCAAACCTGTCTATACAAAGTCCGGTTTTGGGGATTCGTGTGGTCGAAAGATTCGCCAAACAGCAAGTCCTCTAACACAGACGCAAATCCGGACTTGGTGGTGTTGAGTTTTAGCGCACTAGAAACAGTTTCTGGCAACATCACAATCTGAAACTTGGAACTTCAATCTGGCCATATGCAGTTTTGACAACAAAGACATGAAATGTATTCAGAGGTTGAATTATGCGAATAACTCTTCCTGTCAGATCTCCGTCTACTTTAACGAGGTCATTTAGTTTGACAGGTGTCAAATGGTCAGCCATGTTTGTTTACAAACAATGCACACGTAGTTTTGTTTTTTGTAATTACGCTTATTGTTAACTAAAACTCGGGCGAAATAAATGCTTTATTCATTATACTGTGAAATCATGTGGTTGATATGAAACTATGTTCTAGTCTTATAAATCTCGATTAAGTGAGATTGTAGCACGGAAAACATGTGAATGAATGCTCTGGATTTCTGAATGAACTCAATGAGAGAAAAATAGTCCCGTCGACCAATGAAAATTGACATTTGTTTAACTGACCAATCAGCTTCGAGAAACACTAATTGCACACTGTGCAAATATCAAAAAGTTATTACACTGCATATTTGAGCCCATATGGGTAATAAATGACCTTACTCCACCGAACTCGCACAATGTGAAA